GAATGCCAAAACATGCTCATCACCCCTCTACCGCCCAAAACATGCCCACCACCCCCCTACCACCCAAAACAAGTTCACCACCCCTCAGCATCCTCCCACCGTCCCCTGGGTGGCGGTACTGCCCCTGTTGAGAACCAATGGTCTATTTGAATTGCCTAGTTGCCTTTTGTCATAATAGGACAGCAACCATTTTTTTGAGGACAGACATGAATGTCAGCCTTCATTCCCCTCCCCACCATTGCAAATTCGACCACCAGGCAAAAATTCTGTGGCAGTTTGAAAGGCTTTTCCTCGTATGCTGCCTTGAGTACTCCTGTCTGTTTCAGCTGGAGCCCTTGACTTTCTGACAGGCCAACCCCAGCAGGCCTCAAAGGAAGGAATGCCTGCTCAACTGAGGCCATTATTGCCAGGATCTAAGAGCTTCAAAGACCTTGTCTATATTAACAGTATTAAGATAGCTGAGAATTTTGCCTTGTATGATAAAAGGTTGCTAGTTCAAATTTTAGCAGAAACATGTTTTTGATGACTATTTTCTTTCCTTCAGCGAGCTAGCTGAGTTTTTTAAGTGCAGGGTTCCATCAATTCATCGTATCTCCAATCACTCGAGTAAAGGGTTACATACTAGGTAAAGCTCTTAGCCACTGTGCTATTTTAGTGCTATTTTAGTGCTGGTGATAAATGGAAGGTATAGCAGAGTGCAAAATGGCTGGCAAGTAAAGAAAGCTGGTTGTTGTACCTGCATTTTGATGGTTTAGCTTTTATAAATGCTACTTGGGTCCTGAATTGGCATACCAAATAGGCTGTCCTAGATACTCGTAAAGCCTCATGAATTCCCCTAGTATAAAAATGGGATAACAAAGAGGTATGTCTTGGATAAAAATATACTTGTGTTCTGTAATTCAATGATAGAACACATGATTTATATGAAAAAAGGTCTCACATTCAATCCTTTACACCCAGAAAATCCAGAAAAAGATGCCTGCCTTAAACCTCTGAAGAACCACTGCCAGTCAGTATTGATAACTGTGAACTAGGAACTCCAGTGACCTGATTCAAGATCCTTCTTTGTCCTAAATCTTTTGTACACTCCCTAACATTAAACATTAAACATTACTTAATGTCTTTGTAAATGATTCATTATGAATACAGCTGCCACAATTTTACTTTACCACAAGGATATTATTATGTGAAGCATAATATAATAATATCCCTATTTAGCAAAGACTATCTTGTTCTATAAGAGATATAACACTGTAATAGCAGTAGATAGAATGGGTGAGGATAAAGGTGCAGCAACACTGCAAGGGGCAATGGAAACATGATATGCAAAGAATGATCAAAAATACTAACTGAACCCAGGATCACCCAGTGAGAAAGCCTAGCCTTAGAGAAAAACAAAGTAAGTAAACATTTTAAATACAAGTGTTCAAATTTATTTTGAAATTCACAGTTTCTACTGGCACCATAAATCTGTTCTTTATTACATGTCCTAGTGCCACAATTTTGTATGATTCACACAGTCTAACCCTTCTGACTCTCATTCTGGTTTGGGCCCACTTCTCAATTCATGTTCTTTTAAAAAGTCCATCTCATTAGCGGTGTAGACTAAGTATATCACTGTAAAAAGTACCCAAACTTACATGAAAGCTGCTAAACAAAGACTTTTAAATAAGTCACATTACATATGAAATTTAGAAAAGGCATTAGCTCTTTTAAGAAAAGAAAACAAGGAGGCACTATTGAAAGTGCTCAATAAGTTAACTTATACAACATCATCTTGAAACTCCCCCCAAAGACCTTCCCTATCCATTCAGCCTGATGTACTCGCATTTCAGCTACACAATAAAAATTAAGTCAAATGAAAAAGCACATACACATTCACACACACACAGCACATTTGTGTTATCAAATACAAAAAAATGGACATATTTTTGGAACAGAATACAGATTGTGTCAAGCATTAAATTCACTATTGTGTTTCTACTGACGGTTGATTTTATCCAGAATGGAGGCAACTGGTTCTTCTCTCAATTTCTTAGAACAGGAAGACAATTAAAGAAAATTAAAGACCACCATGCTGATTATTCCTGTTAACTTAGTTTGAAAGTGAGCTTCACATCTTCCAGAGGTATGGTTCCATCAAGGAGTAACATTAATTATTACCTACAGAGAAAGAAAGTCTACCTGACAATATTTTTGTGGTATCCAAGTCATATAATTTATCCTCACTAGAGGCCTAAATATGATTCTATGACACCGTAGTGTTATATTCCCACATGACATAACTTTGAAAATCAATGTTTCCCCCCCAGGGATATTACAAATATACAAAAGGCACATAAATATGGAAAGGTGCAAGAAACAGAACCATAGCAAAATGGGATCCTCGTGCTTTAACTCTGTTCAGTTTAAACTGGGTTCATGACCTTAGTTTCTAAAAAACACTGTATAAAATTAGTCCCCATGTCCCAGTCTTCATCCATCCCCCAGTTATTGAATAGCTTTCCACAATCAGCTGCCCCCTGGATACTTTGGAATTCTTATAATCCCTGACCAGCAAGTACTAGGCATGCTGACAGGGGATAATGGGAATTGTGTAGAACACTGGTTGGGGAAAACTGATATAAAAAAGCAGCTTTGAAAAATTGTTGACACAATGCTACTTGTTTTCAAAATAACCACCAAAAAATCTAGATGCTCCCCAATATTCTCTTTTACCCTATCACCCAAATACAACAGAATTTGTCATACAAAAACTTCCACTATGAAGAGTTCAATAAAATTTAAAGGTGTCCAGAAACAGCTGTGACACCAAATGTTCCCACAGTTAAATCTTTGTTTCCTTTGATGATATCGTGCAAGCTTGGCAAGGACCCCGTCTTAGTCTGTATTAAAGTTTTTATGAGCTTCTCCTGTTCTGGGACTTTAGATCGTCTTCGTTTAAGAGTTCTCTTCTCAGTTTTTGTCTTTTGGATTTGCCCATTGCACAAACCTGTGCATGCTGAAATGCCACAGAAGTAGGACTCTTCGGATTGTGATGAGGTTTCTGAGCTTCCTTCTGATGGGGGGCCTTTGTACAAAAAGTGATACACATCACCAATATTAGAGAAGTCTCTCTGATTTGTAAAAGTCTTCTTGCTTTTTATTTCTCCATTAGCTACCTGATGCATTGGCTCAGCTACTGGCTTGACTGTTTCAATTTTCTCATTTTTATATTTGCAACGCTTCTTCTAAAAAAGAAAAATAGTATTGATAAGTGAGAGCTTTTTAACTCATTTGTTGCTCTTAGGACAGGTTTATATAATAACATACCTTTTTTTCTGGGGAAAACTTCAATGGTTCTACAATGTAGAAGTCATCTGGGTCCACTAAAAGGAAAAAAACATATAGATAGTACCCTAGTACTTTTACATATATTAGATATATTCTTTTTTATTAAGACAAAGTAACATTAAAGGTCAATAAAACAAACAAACAAAAAGATATATCATCAATATAAGTGATGAATTTACAGTTGGTTCTTGTTCTTTGAGTAGATTTTACGCTATTGAGGGCATGTTATACATACTTAAGCCATATTTCTTGTTAGTTATAGTTAAATTTCTAGCCAAACAGATGTCCAGCAAACAATTAAGAAAACTGCAGATGGAGATTAAGAAAGCAATCATACATAACTTCTTTGAATTAGACTTTTAGAATCTGTATCCTGACACATCACTGGGGACCTTGTCCTTTCCTTTATGGAATATGACAAAACAGATGAAGAGAAATGGTCTATGGGATGGAGCTTGAGCAGAAGTAGGAGCACTTTCTGATCTGGGCACAGGAGATGGCAGTGAAGTGGCAAGATGATCCTTAGGCAGAGTTCTGTTGGTTGCCTGGGGAGAACCTGTTCCAAACTGCCCAATTATGTGGCTATTTGGTACACTTTAAATTGTATAAAGAATACACTATATTATGTTCATAGTGTATCTCAGATAATATGGAAAGAAGGATAAGTGCCCCCAAAGTGGAAACTTAAAGATATCTTCATATCTGTCTGTCACCAAAATAAAATATAAACAGAGTTTGCTAGGTGTGAAGGAAAAGCTATGACATTGGTGGGAATGTGATGTTTTTCCCACAAAAGCAAGGTAACTGCCAAAACTAAGCTCAAGGACTTGAGAGAGAAAACTGTTCAGCAGTAACATATTATTCTACTATGGTGCTTGTTAATTATTTGGAAGGAATAAGTAAGTGTGTGTGTGTGTGTTAGCACTTGTAATAAACAAATAAAACAGGTAAATGCAATCCTAGGTTACGTCAACAGAATTATAGGATCAAGATCAAAGGAAGCCATCATACTTCTCTATGCTGGTCAGACTACACTTAGAATACTGTGTCACATTTAGGGAGCCCCATTACAGGAAGGACAAACTCGAGCCTGTCCAGAGGACAAAAAGCCAAAAGGGCCTGGTAAGAAAAAACATAATTGCCATGATCGGACACAATTGAATGGATAGCATAATTATCAAGAAAAACTTATGAAGAACAGTTGGAGATGTTGGGTAAGTTTAGCCTGGAGAAGAGAAGATTATGAAAAGACATGGTAGATGTCTTCAAGTATCAGAAGTCTGTCATGTAGAAGATGGAGCCAAATTGTTGAAGGCTATTCCAGTACATAGGACAAGAACCAATGGATTTATATTACAGGGAAGTAAATTCATTTGGAGATCAGGTAAACTTTCTTAATGGTAAAAACCTATTTAATAATGCAACAGGCTGCCTCAGAATATGGACTCTCCTTCACTAGAAGTGTTTAAACAGAGGCTAGATGCACATCTGCTGGGAATGCTGGGATGATGGATTCCTGCACCAGGCAGAGATTGAACTAGGTAATCTCTAAGGTACATTGTACTCTGGGATTCATGGATGAATAAATGCAAATCAATGTACATGTTTAATTATGGATGAAAGCGTTAAAATTTATGTCAGACAATATAGTGTAATCTAGGTTGTTATGGATGTGCATGAGAGTAGGTATCCATAAGTTGGCATTACAGCATGCTATGTACCAGTGAAAGAATATAAAAAGATGATAAAGATGAGTTCTAGGAAAAATATGAAACACTATGAATGAATGTGATCGAGGCAATTTTTGTTTGTTTTGGCTAGATCATATGAATGGATGAGTGGGAACAAGTGAGAGTGAGAGTATGGAAATCTAATCTATGTACATATGACAAAGGAATGAACAATTGATTTGACTGTTCATGATGAAAGACTGAAATTAATGAAGGATACAAGGATGATGAGAGATTCTGAATATTGGACAGATTGTTGTTGGTAGTATCAAGACTGTATCTTGATGGTATGGAATGGAAGGAAAGAAGTAAGAGAAATAAGAGTGAAATCAGAATGACTCAGGAAAATAAAGTAAAAGTGCTATGTGAAAAAGTATTAGAAGACAGCTTAATCTCCCAACTAAATTAATGAAAAGTGGGCATAAGAAGATGTGGTAGCATAGTGACAAAAATTACGAAAAACGATTAAGTGTGTGAACTTATACTAATAAGATTGTGGATGGGGAAAGACTGCTGCAAAAAATGAGGGAAGATATTGCATAATGTTATAAAGGGAAAAAAATAGTTGCAAACAATACAGTCAAAGACAACAAGTAATGGTTAAAATTAAAATGGAAGCAAAGAAAATGTAGAGTGATTTTGATGGAAATAAAAACCTTTTTAGAAGTGGGTTAAGAAGGCTAAATAAGGAGCTTCTAGCAGAATGAATGGAATTAAAAATGAAAATTACTGGGGTGAAACTGCACAGAGACAATGTAGAAAAGAATATTTCAAATGTATACATGATTTTTACCCAAGGAAAAAACATGATGAAAAGCTGTGAGACTACTGAGAAATGGTAAGACTACAGAGATAGAGGGTGTAACTGAAGATATATTAAAATGTGGGTGGGATTCCCTTTTGAAGTAGCTGTGCAATCTGCTGAAGACTTCATTTGTGCCTCACACCTGAACTGATTAAAATGGTACAAAAGTACAACATGACTTTTTGCTGATCAGGAGGTACTGAAATCACTGAGAAATTTAGGAATATGAGAACTTATTGTATATTTATTGATTTAGAGAGAGTATATGATAAAGTGATAAGCTGAAACATCTTGCAGAATATGTAGCTGAATATTAATTGTTAAATGTGATAAGGGTGGTTTATGATGGATACAAAACATTTGTGAAAATAAATGAAATATTTAGGAAATGGTACAGCAGAAAATAAGGCAAAAATATATAGTGTCCCTTGGGATGTTTGAAGTATTTATTGGTAAACATATAAGGAATGCTTGTAGTATATTGTATGGATCTCAAAATAAATATACAAAAGTCCAAGACAGTAATGGACCTCCGGGGGAAGTATGGCAAACTGAAGATGGCTCTGTGAAAGCAGAGCCAGTGACCGTGACAAAGACCAAGGAACTGGTGAGTAGACTAGTTCCTTGGAACCTGGAATTGGAAAAATAAGGATTGAATGGGAGATTGCCCACATGTACTCCGGATGGCTGTGCCTTGTGAGGAGACTAGAGGACAGCAGTTTTCCACAGGTTTGAGCACTGGGAGATGACAGGATTAGCCATCTTGCTTGCAACTGTGGTAGAGACTTTTAAAGGACACTAAGTTTGCAAACCTCACTTTCTAATCACTTTCAGAAATTGCTCATTAACTACTTCTAACCTATTAGAGACCTTCGGAATGACAAGTTTGAAAATGCTGGGTGAGTCTGCCTTTAATCCTGAATGAAATAAAAATGTAATCATAAGCTTAAGAATTTAAAGAATCTGAAATAAGTAGCAAAAAGCTAAATAAGATTTTGATCTTAGAAAGTTACAAACGGACTAAGGGTCCAGATAAAATTGGAATCTTGAAACTTTTATAATAAGTTTTTGGAATTAATTATAAAATACAAACAGCCTCTCATAGGAAATAGACCCTATTTTGGTTTTTATAAGATACAATATAGATAAGCAATTTCATGATTTCAAAAACTGGACACTAGAGGGGACTGAAGATTTTAGGTAGAGGAAAGACATACAGGCCTGTAAGATGATGCAAAATGTTATGACAGGAAAAATACTGAAGGAGACTTTTGAAGAACGGAATCAGGAAATAGTAGTCACAATATCAATAACGTCAGTAATGATGCCTGCTTCTATGTTATTGAAGATGTAGAACAAATTCTATCTGACAAGATAGAGATGGCATCGAAACTGGATTTACAACTGACAGACCAAGATAATGATTTAGAAAAGGATGTTTCACTGGATCTAAAAAGAAATTGGCTGAGGTTTTAAAAAGGGAAATGCAAATGACAGAGTGACCTGGATCATTTTTTCTTATTGGATTTGCAAGAGGCTTGTTAAAGCCTTGAAGAACTCTGTGTGACGGGACAAAGAAGAAATGAAAAAAATCAGATCCTATGACAATATTTGAATGAACTAAAGATTAAGACTGTTAGAAGTAAAAAGAAGGAATCTAAAGTTGGTTTATTTGATCAAGGTTAACACAGGATATATTGTTACTTCTGGTTACCCTTTATGGACTTTCTGCTGACACCAGGACTGAAAAGATGATGTATTTGTTTATAGAAAGAGATGGGATATGGGATGAAGAGATAAATGTTTGTATCTTTAGAGAGGGTGAAGATTTACTAAATTTCTTTATACTTGTGATGAAGGTTGGAAGAAACTTCTTTATATATTTTTCTCTTTATTATATTCTTACTTTTCTCTTTCTTCTTCTTCTTTTTCTTTGCACTTTTTACTCCTTTCTATTCTCCTTTCTTTTTTTAAGTTTAGTTTGTATTAAATTTTACTATTATGATCAAAATTCTTAATAAAAATTATATATAAGTCCAAGGCAGTAATGTTTGATGATGAAAACGGAACGAACAATTAAGAGTCATACATAAGCAGTAAAAGGAATAGCATGAGGGGGATGTGTATATCCAGTAGCTACACCTGAGTATTCGACAAAGGTGACTATGAACAATATTATTGGCTGTCATTGTTTCTTTTTCAGGACTCTTTCAAGTAGCATTCCAAAGTGGATGAGGCTATCGTCAGAAACAAAGGCTTGAATTGTGCATTCCCACTGTCTTTCCAAAGGAGATCTTTCTCTATGGACATTATTTTTATATCAAGTATAATCCAGTATAACTGAATGGATTTATTTTGCTCTATTAACATACAAATCTTTTCCCTTGGCCTTGCCCCATTAACTATGAGTGATAATTTTCAGTCCACATGAAAACAGGCAGTGGCAACTAAAATCTCATCCTTGGGCTTCTCTCCAGATCGTCTACTCAGCATGGGATATGATCAGGCCAAAACACTCATTTAACAATGTGTAGCAGACACAGAGTGCCAACTGGATCTAGCCAGGTCCCCAACCTTTATTGCCAGTGAAATCAACAGGTACTCTGCCTCCCCTATGACATACTTAACTAAACTTGAAGTACCTAAACACCAGAGGGCCTTTACTCTGGCACAATGCCATGTCCTCCCCTCAGCAGCCCTTGAAGGCCAATACAGGATCCCTTACCCAGAGAGACAATGCCCCTGTGACTCTGGACACACAGAAACAACAGAGCACGTGCTTTCTCCAGTGCCTGTATTACAGAGACATTCGTACTAGTCTCATCTCACCATTACTGCATAAATACCCAGGGCGCATAGGATAATTTTACACATCTCTGCTGTTTTCAGATACCAACCTTGCTATAACATATAATGTTGCAGGATCTGCACAGCAGTGATTAAAATTTGTCAGATGATGATCTGTGCCATAAACTAGACTTAATGAGCATATAGGTCTTCATATTAGAGCGCTCTGTAATTCGATAATCTTCCATATAGTAACCTTTATGCTCCCCACACCCATTAAATGCTCCTACCCCAACTTTTTAGATTGTTTCTTACATATATACTTTTTGTTTTATATCTTTTAGCTTTTCAAAACTTTTTTTTTAATAAACTCCAATTTATCTTTTATGCTTTTTAATTGGCTGTACCCCACCCTCCTTATGCTGGTCTATGACCATAATAAAGATTTGATTTGATTTGATATACAAATTTTAAGTGTCCTATATATAAATGTATGCCCCTTCCTGTACCATGCCCATCTGTTAGGCTTGGAAACTTGGGGGGATGGGATATTAAGTAGGAATTATTTTACTTTACATTTGCTAGTCTGGATAAAGCAATTTGCCTGAGTTATGCTCATCAAACAACACTTCTGTACTCTATGATTGTGATGTGTGTGTGTTTGTGTATCGTGACAAATGTAATATTGAGTCTTTTCACTTCTTTTGATAGGGCTTGTTCAAAGATAAGCACCCTCCTGCCTCTCTGCAATGAAGAGAGGAACTTGTCTGGGTCAAAAGGAATATCTTTTATTCAGATATGAAATTAAATCTGTTTTTCTAGCCATGTGGGCTAGAACCAGGACTTTCCACAAGCTAGACAACTTGTTTTTCTCAAGGAAAAAAACGCATTGTCAGTCTTTACTTGGGCAACGCTACTTCTAAATCAATTTTGATGTATAAGGTAGTGTAACCAAGGCAAGCATTTAAATTTCATTGACTCCAAAGGAATTCACAAAATTTGCCCATGTGCCAGTTTGCAACTCAATCTGTTTGTGGTTACTTTTTGGGGTGGGTGGGAAGGTCATGTACTGGAACTGCAAGAAACAGGCATAATTTCAGAGATAAGACAAGATGATAAAGGCAAAGATCGAAAACCTTGTGAGCTATGTACAAGCTATCTCTAATGTTTCGATCTTGTTGAAATCTTCAGTCTTCCACAAGTACCATGCTACAGGACCCTACAAGACTTTGTGGTGTCATGGGAAGCAAATATTTATTATATTTGGTAACGATCTACCAGTTTATATGAGTTTATAAAGGAACTTAAATTAAAAGTCAAATAGCAACTGCAATCTCTAACTTCTAAAGCAAAATCTGTTTATTCTCAAGTTTGAAAATACACTATTGGGGTAAACAGCCAAAATCCTCCTGATAAATCAGCCTCTGGTGAAGAGGGACTGCTAAAGATAGCAGCACTTGCTGGTCTTGGGTCTGCTCGATTATACAGCCACTCAAATAATGCTAACACACACAAAAAATCTGACTACCTAACAGAAGATTTTAATTGCATTAATGTTAATATTCTTGCACCAAATTATAGTGCATATTATAAAAACTGTTCTGCACTCAAATACAGTACAGGTTTTACCAGCAATCTGTAGCAACAAGTTAACGAAAACATAGCTATCCTTACCTTCTTTGCTGTTTAGCTGAAAAGACTGAGACCTTGTGAGTGGAAAGGAGGTTCTTCTTTTCACGTTCATATCATCATAGGAGGAAATACACCTGCAGGAGAAAAACATACCACCTTATCTCCAAAGGTACATTAAATAGCTTTAGAATCCAAGTTCTAAAACCAAGACTTGTTTTGTGACACCTATTGTTTCTATTTTTCCAGTGTCCTGTAGCACAAGAGTTTAGAGCAAATGGATTGTGTTTCTGGGTATCAGCTTTATACTGCCAGGGAAGTTTACATGCAATTCGAAGTTTACAAATCCCCAAGGAGTGTACAATGTATAGTCCTGCAGGTACTGCTGAGCTGAATTTCCTGGAATCCTTCTGAATTGACTATATTTGTTGGGAGTTGTGGTTCCCCAACATTTGGGGAAGCATTGTGCACTCATAGGAAAAATTTATTTATCAAATTTGGGATAGTTATCAAACCTATTTTGCTGGTTAGGCAAGACAAATTTCCAAAAATGATATTATTTCATAGCCATTAAATGTGAACCTCCTTTCTAAATACAGGATAACTTTTTAGCCAAATTTATTCTGATGGATAAATGTGATAATATGCTATTTCAAATCTCTTCAGATTAACGAACATAAATTTGGAGGCATTTGTATAAAGTGTATCAAGTGGAAACAGGCTCAGAAACTTTGATAACTGATCCAAATTTGTTAGTACAAAAACTAACAAACTAAGAAACTTCATACCATTGGATAAGAAACTCACTTTATGGAACGCATGAAGTAAAGCATGATGTGCATTGTGAACTTATAGCAAAATGAGAAATCAGAACCAAATGTGGAGCAAATTCTTGAACTGCGTATGTGTTAGTTCTCACTGAGTGGGCTTCTAAATGGACAGAGTCATCAGCTCTTGTCTTTACAAGGGAGAGGCCATTTTCTTGCGGTTATTTTGGTAGTCAGGGCCCATAGGAGAGGGGGTAATAACATTCTGCAATTGGGTGTGGCTAACTTTCTTTTTTGTGTTTGCTGTTTCAAGTATGCTAAACGGAGATAAATACTGAAATAGCTTATTTTATTTCTCACTAGAAGAGTGGGCAACTGCTGACGCTCCCCTATTTTTGATGACCTATCTACAAGTTAGCCTGAGTGGCAAGATTCTTTGAAAAAGCCATTTGATAAATTTCACACTTAATACATCTTTTATTCTACATATTTATATAGTGAAAAGCATTATATAAATTTACTCATATTTGTAGTTGATCTTAGTTTTCCTGCTTCATCTAGGCTAAGATAATATAGTCACTACACAAACAAACCTGAAAAATAAGTTACCTTTTGGGACTAGGATAGTGATTACTTTTGAGAACTTTTGAGAAGTAATCATTATTCAATTCTGGCTTGTTTTTGCAACGTTGCAGAAAAAACATAAAAACTAGGATGGCACAGAATATCAAAGAAATCACAAGGTAACTCTGGTGATCTGAAACCTAAAAAAGAAATTGTATAGATTGTATAATCATGGTTAAATATAGAAGCAACCATATATACGTAACTGAGCATCTATATGATATTAAGTTTTACCTATAGCTAATTAAGTAACGGGATCCCTGAAGATGCAATTGTCCCCAAATACTTTTCAAATATATCCTCAAATAGTCCCTTTTCTATTTGTGATTTAATTCTATTTGTGTTTTGGTGTTTAATTTCTTTCCCAGGCAGCCAGGAATGTTTCAAAGTTCTTGCCTCTAGTCATTTTTATTTCCCAGATATGTTGTCCAGAAGTAAGGTCAACAGAAGGAAGCTAGTTCTCCTCTGGAAGTGTTCCCTTGAAGCTGAAAGAGGAAGTGGGGAGATTTGGGATGCAATAAGGGAGATTGCAGGGCAATCTGGTATATAGGAGGAGTTTGGAGCTAGGGTGGGAAGGGCTGCAAAGAATATCAGGAAAGATTAGAAAAGCCTAGAGAGTAACCTAATTGTTTTTTTGGGGGGGGAGGAGTTTGTGTCTGTGTTTTTGAATTTGCATGTGGGTGATCCTGAGGGGCATGACTGAAATGGATCTTGCAGGCTCTTAACAAACAGAGACAGAGAGACCAAGCTGTTAACTTTCAAGTGCCAAGAAGAGAGTTTGTATTTTAGGGCTCAGGTTCCTTCTGTGACATTTTCAGGATCTCAGACAAGTAATTTTCTCTTAGCCTCTCTGTGAAATGGGTGTTTTCTACCTGATCACACTCAACGACAGCAGCCATGTTATGAATAAGTACTGTTCACTCATGATACTTAGTGAAAATTTCAAGCATGTCACTTGTGCCAAAAGATCTTCCTTTGTGCTTGAAACAGAATAATCTAGCAGCCAGCTAAGTGGCAAAACTCATTTTAGGCTATGATAATTAATGATTGTACAGACTGTGGAGAATTGATGAGACACAGAGAGACGAAAATGTCTCATTCTATAGAATGCAGCTATCCTGTTGCTACTTACAGCAGTTGCTCCAGCACACAGTTGCTCATCCTGCTCCAAGCTTTTTCCTGTTATAGCCCCCACATGTATCCCTTTAAGTTGGACAGAGTGACAGCTATGACGGACAGTATTCAATAGCATGACCTTACTGATTGGAAATGAAATAGATTCAACCATGTATGTAATCTCCCTAATGTAAGCCTATTCTATGATACAAATTTCTACAATTCTCTTAAAAATTACTGTAAAAGGCAAGGAGAACTCATATTTGTTTGTATGCAGTCATAATAGTACAGCCTTATGTCAGTAATGGGAATAGCTCTATTTGTATCATAATTGGACCTAATTATATCAGCCTTCAGCTAACTACAGTAGGAAGCCTGTCATAAATTTGTTACTGGCTATCTTTTCATTCTTCCTATTATGATAAGGAGCTTATGATAACATAGAAAACCTCTTCAAAATACTTTAAAGTATTTTGTTCAAACTGTTGGCGACACAAAGCAAATCTTCAAATTGTAGGCATCTTTTCACATGAAACAATCAAGTTTTAGTTATGGTCTCCACAATGCATTCCAGCTTAGAAAATGTGTCAGCACTGTGGCATAGAAACTGTATGATCTATCCTCTATGAAACTAGCCCATTACTAGTATTTAACATTCTAAAAAAACACAGTACTCAATATATAAATATTGGTACCTATATACAATGGGAATTCTAAACTTAGAAAACATTTTTCTTTCATATTATTCAGATATTTACCTCTCTTTTTAGTTCAGCTACTGTTGATGACAGATTGGAAACAACAAGTGTCATGTTTGTTAGTTGAGCCTGCAGAAGCTGGATGGCCTCTGTCTGTTTCAAATCCTAGATAAATAGGAAAAAAACCAAAATACTTTTTTTTTTTAGTCTTGAAAGGTATTTACTATACAGAAACGCAGTATTGCTGAAATTGGATAATACAGGTAGTCCTAATTAAGCAACCACAATTGGAACTGGCAACACCATGGCTAAGTGGGAAATCCTGTGACCAAGACTGCTTTCCAGCTCAAAACTGACCAGACTAATCAATTTCAAACCTTCTGCTTTTGTTTGCCTCCCAACCACTCCTGCCCCTTGGAATGCTTACCCGGGCACTAGGATAATTAACAAGAATGGAATTGTTTATATTTACATTCAGAGAGGAAGGGATTACAAGAGAGTAAGAAGGCACACAATGGGGAATACACATCAAAAGCAATGCGTTGGTGCCGGTAGCCACAAGCACACTGCACAAAGAGTTTGGTATATTCCCCATTGTGTGCCTGCTCTCTCTCTCTCGTGATCCCTTCTTCTCCAATCTCTTCACTCAGCAAGGGGGGAAGGGGGGAAGGAAAAAAACAAGTGATTTCTGTAGGCAATCTCTCCTGTGTCTGACCCATTTCCCCTAAAACTAAATACAGTCACTTAGTCATGCTAATAGAGTGGATGAATCAAGGAGCAGTCTTAATTTTTTGATTAATAAGAAATCCATTAAACCATCATAAGGAAGTGTTAACTACTCTTGATACTGCAAAAACTGCCTTTGAAATAAAGGAAGTCCTTGGCTTATGTCCATTTGTTCAGCGACTGTTCAAAGTTATGGCGGCACTGAAAAAATGGACTTACAACCAGTCCTCAAAGTTCCAGCCATCAAAGCATCCCTGTGGTCATATGATTGTGATCTAGGTGCTCCAATCATGAATATGATATCACAGAAAGCTGTATTACATGATCACCATTTGTGACCTTCCCTGCTGGCTTCCCACAAGCAAAGTCAATGGGGAAGCCACCAGGGAAGATTGCAAATTGCTCCAGTAAGTGGCTCCTGCTGCTTTTTCTCCCTGGGGGGCCTGCTAGAGTATGAGATCCCAGGGATCTTGTATTCCATAGCACCCCACGCCCACAGCACCTCCCATCCCCGAGGCCTCCGCCAGCCCTCCCAAAACCTCTGAGGGCCCTCGTCAACCTGCCTGCACTCCATAGTGCCTGCCCATAGCACATCCCACCCCCTGTGCTCCTTGCCTGGGACTCCCATCTCTTCCCACTTAATGACTCGCACAGCAACTGGGAATGCCAGGATTACTGTCACTAAGTGATGAAGTCACATGACATTGTACTTTATGACTTCATTGCTTAGCAACAGCAATCCCAGTCCCAATTGCCATTGTAACTTGAGGACTATCTGTAAAATAAACTTGTTTCTTGAATTTTAAAACCATTAAGTTACAGATAATAAAAAATAGGTTTGCACACACCTGCTGTTCTGCTATGCATGAAGTATTCTGAAGCTTTATTATTGTTTTATTAAAAGCCTTCTGCATTTCTTCCATTTGCTTTCGATACCTACAAAGTAAAAGGGAATCTTAGTACCCATTCCTCATTTCTTCTCAATTTTGTCATGAAAAGCAAAAGAACCCCCCTCTTAGAATAGTTTGTGAGACTGCTCAACTGATGAGAACTTCTAGCAATCTTTAAATCTCTTCAAAGGAAAGGAACGTTGTAATTCAAATTATTTTTGGGACTGTACCCAAAGGTGCTTTGCACAACAATTACTTATTTTTTAATACTTGAATCCTATACTGGACATTCCTTATTTTCTTATTCAAAATTTTAGAGAATCATTTCTCTGTGCATTAATAAATACAGGCAGTCCTCATTTAACGTCCATTCATTCAGAGACCATTTGATGGCACTGAACGAAGGGACTGATGCAGCACCCCAGTGGTCATGTGAACACAATTCAGGTGCTTGGCAATCAGCTCGCACTTACGACCAGTTGCAGTGTCCCATGGTCATGTGACTGCCATTTGTGACCTTCCCTGCTGGCTTCCAACAAGCAAAGTCAATGGAGAAGCCAGTAGGGAAGGTTGCAAACTGCTTGGGTAAGTCCTCCTCCCGGCCTTTCTGCGCTCGCATGCACTGCACCCTCCTTCCCCCTTTGCTTGCACACACACGCGCATCCCCTTTCATTCGCACACACATATACACACCATGCCCTCCTTTCTCCGCACGCATGCATCGTGCCCTCCTTCTCCCTTCGCTCACACACACATCCTTTCCCCCCTTCGCTCACATGCACACACGCACCATGCCCTCCTTCCCCCTTCACTTGCATGCACCATGCTCTCCCTCCTTCCCTTGCACCGCACCCTTCTTCCCCCCTTTGCTCACACACAATGCACCCTCCTTCCCCCCAGCCCTTCCTGTGCTCTTGCCGCTCTGCAGCACCCCCCTTATCAACTCGTGTACAGCCTGCACTGGGCCTCCCCCACCCCCTTGTGGCACCCCTGCACTTCTTACCTGGGAGGCCCTGATTCCCCCTTAAGACCTCTGTGTTTTGGGTTATAACAGCAACCAGGACTGCCTGGATTGCTGCCACTAAGTGATGTGGTCACATAACATCATGGTTTATGACTGCATCACTTAGTGATGGCAATCCCGGTCCCAACTGCCAACGTAACTCAAGGACTACCTGTGTGAAGGATATATTTCATGAAACTTTTTTTAAAAATCAGAATGTAAGAATTCCACTGTTACTCATACCTCTGACTTAGTTCTTCCAAGTAGCGACTACTGAGAGACATATTTACTTCCAAGGCTTTAATGCGATTATTGAGTCTCATAAAAACAGACTCTTTTTGATTTGACCCATGAACAAGATTCCCATTTGCGTAGCCTAAGTCTGTGGAATTCTGTAGTTCAGCATAAAAGTCGGTGGCAGTTCTTGGCAACCCACCAGAAACGGAAATTGCAAGAAATGTTTCCTCAACAGTCTGCTCATCTTCTTTTATTTCCAAAGATGGCGATTCCACAAGTGACACCTCTTGCTTTTCTGTTTCTGAAGAACTAACTTTTGTTTCTACACCATAGCTTTCTATGGCTACTGTACATTCAGACGGTGGAACAATTTCTGTTGGCTTTGAAGCAGTTTCGGTAGAGATTTTTTCTTCTGTGTTCATCACCCTGAATTCAGTTACAATACTGGATGTAGAAGGTTTCTCTGTAAGAGATACTACAATTCTATCTTCTTCAGCAAGAATTTCCTCTTGGGAAAGAATCTCTGGACTTTCAGATACAGTTTCATATTTTGTAGGCTCAGAGGACACCTCTATTGTAGATGGTGATGTGGTTCCTGTTGTAACATCTAAGAGGATGGACTGTGACACAGTCTGCGGATGACTGGGCTCCAGTTCAAAGGTAACTTCAGTCTGATTAACCGTAGCCTCATCTAACACGCTACTTAGAACACCTATTGCAGTTTCAGATAGGTCTACAATTAAGACATCTGGTATCTCTGAAGAATGCTCATGTTCCAAAGTATGCAATGATTTGGTTGGAACTAGCTGTATCTGTGAAACAGTAACAGAATTATGTTCTTCCAAAATGGTATCAGTTCTACTGTGGGGGTGATGGAGAACTGCTATTGCTGAACACCACTTGAATATGTATTCTGAAAAACTAGAAATACAACAGGCTGTGATCAGATCATAACAATAGATCTGTGTTTCATGCTCAAACCATGATATTTCCTCTTCTTGTTCATCACTTGGCAGCAGGGTCACTGTTGACTGACTGACTTCTTCCTCATATTCATGGACAAGCTGAACAATTGGTCTCTCTCCTGTTATTTCCAAAACTAACATCTCCTTTTCAGTCTGTGGTGTTTCTGGAGAAACAAGTCTACAAACACAAGTTGAAAATTAGTTGAATAAACATGTACTTCAGTACATCCTTTAAAAAAAGGGTGGTTGCAGGAATTAATATTCTTTCACTTGTTCATGATTTTTTTTTATAAATTTCTAAGCATATCCAAACCATTTTACGCACAAGTTAGAAGGAAATGTTTTCATTTTTACTTGTGGAAGGAATGTCTCAGAGGGAAACTAATTTTTATCTCTAGATTTCTCAATTTTTGTAGCTTACATATTTCAAGGATAAAAAGATAACACCTTGGATAAGCAAACAGACTCTGTTTGATGTTCCTTTATAGTTTAATTTTTTTTTCTAATTTACCAAAAGACATTGAGATTAGACTATCTAGCACACATCACTTACTCTAAAGAAGGAACAGTAGTTGGCTCTGGCAGTTTTGGTGTTGCTCTGGAAGTGGCAGTTGTGTTGTCAGAAATGTTCTTGTTTCCTATCGAAAAGACATACAGATTTAATTACATAAATTTTCATTGAATTGGATTATGGTTATAGAAGAAATAAAGAGTTTCAGATATTAATGTAAACTTTATTAGTTGCTTTTAATTTGCTGGTATACCATTCAATGTGTAACATTTATTTACTTAATAAGATTTACACTTTCTCACTACAGGGGCTCCATATGGCACACAAATAATCAGTAATTGTTGTCTCACTGTTGTCTCAATTCCAGGTCCTGAATGGACATCTTTCAAGAAAGGCTCATCTTGCCTTCTTCTCACAAGGCAGGGCCTTATGTGGGACATTGTAGAGAGTAAGGGAAGGGACCTTAACAGAAATATGCAAGAATTGTTACCTAGGCAAAGAGGGCTAAAACATTCTTTAAATCTTAGGAAGCAAGATAACATTCAGAAGCAGCTCAAATGACTCCCTGATTCACTGGGGTATTGGAAGGAAGAGAGGTACAGCACAAGAGATAAGCTATAATAACTCTTCTGTTATAGCTTATCTCAATAAAGTGTAGTTCTAGTCTTCCTGTGGAATTGATTTACTGGTCTGGTCTACCTAGCGGGACTGACATATATTAAAAGCTTTCTTTTTGTAAATGTTTTTGGTCCGTAAATAGCTGCACTCTTTTTGAGACAATTTTAATTGTTATGGTTAAATTATTGGATTGTTGATTGATTTCTAAATGTTTCTCTAATATTTTAGTACTTGATTGCTTTATTATTACATCAAATTGTTTTTGAAACTGGTAGGTTGTTTTGTTAATTTATATCTTTCTGAAGAAAAGCCAGGTAAGAAATGTTTAAAATAAATAATTGCAGTTTTTATTATTATACAAAGCAGAGAAAAAATTCACCTAAGCAAAATGAAAGCCATTCAAAATTTATTCCAAGAATCAATTAGAAGACATTGTATATATAACCTACCTTGTTCTGCAGTTTCCTCTTCAGTTTTTGCTCCAAGTATATTAGCAGCAATATTCACCATATTTAAAATGGCATCTAGAAAAGTGTCAAACACAATTTAGTCACTTTTACTGAAATTTGTTCTGCTAGGTATACAGTTTTTGAGCAATAAATTACATATACATGTATATGTAATACAAACGAAAATTCTCATAATAATGAGGGTAGTCAAGAATTTAACAACATATGTCAAACAACATAGTATTTTCTGAAAAATTCACCACCATTGCTTAGAACTAAGAAAATTAAATAGTTTCCACCTATTGCCCTTACTGAAATCCAGAGTGAAACTCATTCAAAATCTGAAAGCTGGTTTGAAATATTGCATTCTTGTTTGATACAATCTAAATACATATTCTACAGTTACTCAGAGAGTAGTTTTTATTTTAAGAAAGTGGATACATACAAAGAATTAACTATTTAATTGGGATTTTTAAATAACAACTTTAATAAAAAAATAGAAAAGCAGATGAGATCATTAAGGGCTGAACCATGTCCAGTTCAATTTATTGTTATGAATGTTGGAGGATATGTTTGCCATTATGTGATTGGGAGAATTATCATTAAAAAGCTGAAAGATTTCTCTCACTCCCCCCAACCTTACTTTCTGTAGGCTACTAGTAGTAACTGAGCTGAAAAATTAGGAAATATTGATGATTTACAAGTGAACCATCATTTGTTACCTTTCAACTAGCTAAATCAAGATTGGCTAATAATTGCATGTCTAATATCAAACAATAAACCAGGGAGCTCACCTGGTTTAATTATGTTCTGAGATAAATCAAGTAAGGGGGGGAATCAATCAAGAGTAGAATTGGAGGTAAACTCATGATGAACTGGGTAGTTTTCCAATTATTTATTGTTTAAGTAGATAATCTTTTGGTGAAAGGGAGCCAGATTTTGGGGAGCCCTTGAGCAAAGTAGGCAGGGCAATAAAGAGAACAGAGCTTTTTCTTGGGTTCTGGGGGCAATTAATGTGGTGTGCTTTTAAAATTATGTTAACGTTATTGCAGGACTCACATTTTCACATTTCTTTGTTCACAGTGGTGAAAAACAATGCTACCAATTTCTATAGTGGTCAAAGGAAGCTCTAAGAATCACAAAGTCAATACTTGGAGAGCCACAGATTGTCAATCTACCATAGAAAGTCCTGCATATTTGACTATTTTAAAATGAATAATTTTTGTTATTTCACTTTAGCATATATGTTTTAGATGTAAACTATTATATGTGTTGCTATGTTGTACTATAATATTTGTTTTTGTTGAATATGTAAAATACTGCTATTCTGTTATATTTGTAAAAGTGTATTTTGATTTTGTTGTTGATTTTCATTTTCTCCTTTTGTATTTTACTCTGTATTAAAATATTCTGTTTTGATTGCATTAGTGAACTTACACCAGGAATGAATGCATTTCTTGTCATGGCTTGGCCCTGGGGACACTATATGACAATGATTTCAGTCCTTCTGTCAGGTAATGTCCAGAAAGTGGTACTGGGAGCTAGTATTTGGTATTTGAGCTGTTGGTCTGCAACCTTTTAAGGAATTCTGCCAATTATCTGTATTTTATATACATACCAATGAAATAATTATCCAGACTATTAAAGTGAAATACCATCAATATGATGATGGTACAAATTTCTATTATTCATTATGAGTTGTCAATAGCATAGAACATTGCCTGGATTACATAATGGGCCAGATAAAAATCAAACAATTGAAACAGAATCCAAAGTACTGCTGAACAGCAAAAAGATTAGGATTCATTCTGTTCTGAAACGGATCATGTTCCTTAGGAAGGTTACAATTTTCAAGCTTGAAAATGCATGGAAAACTATTAAGAAACACAAAGTACATACAATTTAATTTACATAGTAAATTAAAATTTACATAACAAGTACTAAAATGTTTAAAATAAAGAATACTTAGAAATATTATAGAAATAATAATGTTCAAGTTCACAATGAATTTGAATTAATCGATGGCAAAATGTATGATCAGGTTGGTTTGATATTAGCTGGACAGAATGTCTTAGCTCATGATGTAGAGTAAAATGCTATAGAATTATAAAAAGTATTTCACTTAACACATATGGCCAGAAATATTCTGTAAGATCAATTTCATGTTTGTTGTTGATGTTTTACACATAATTTTAGTCTATGGCCTTAAATACAGTATTGCTCATTTTAAATACTGAATCACACTTGGCATAGGGCTTTGTGCATGCACCCAAGAGTACTGTAAATGCCCCTACCTGCAAGACCATGTTTCCTACTACATAATTTTAGGAATTATACTTAATGTTTTCCATGCAGTCAGATATACAACATATTTTTCACATTTGTATTCCGCTCTTCTGAAAGTTCAGCATGACATTTATCTATGGATTTTACTTCACAAATGATGACAATCCGGCCTTCCTCTTCTCAACCAGCCTCTTGCCCAAACAGGTAAGTGTACCAAAATCTTTAATATATTGTGGAGTCCTTGGGGTTCTGTGAGCTTGGTTGTTTTCTTGCAGACGTTTTGTTATCCAGCTAGGTAACATCTGCAGTACTAGAATGGAATGAGGTTTACTCTCTGTTTATATATTGTGGTATGCCCTGCCAGTGTTGGTGGTTGGATTATAATCAAGGACCTACCAGAGGAAAAAAATAGAACAAAACAAAACCCACATCCCCACCAACACTGGCAGGGCATACCACAATATACTGTATGAACAGAGAGCAAACCTCATTCCATTCTAGCACTGAAGATGTTACCTAGCCGGGTAACAAAACGTCTGCAAGAAAACAACCAAGCTCACAGAACCCCAAGGACTCCACAGTTCAACCCTGAGCTACACATATTCACTTTAATATATTCCATGTTTTTTACTTTTGGTGATGCCAAATCTGTGTATTATTATAATTATTTTTTATTTCTATACTACTCTTCTTTCCAGAAGAGATTAAAATTGTTTATAAAAGCAATCTTTAAAAAGCAACAAGCTCTAAAAATAAATACAAAAATAAAATAGACTAATTTTAGCAGTGATATAACAAGTAATATATAAGGCCACCCAAAATACAGTTTGGCACTGGAAAAGATTGGCAAACAGGCAGATTGAAGACCTGAATTGAGAATTATTGAATTTTTTGAATTGAGAAATATTGAACTTTTTAGGATTATTGAATTTCTCAAAAGTGAAAGTATGGGATCAAAGTGCTATGTATTCTTTCTATATTCATCACTTATATCAGATTTCCCCATAATCCTTTTACATATTCTAACAAATGGCTCCAAAACAAGCTTCCCTTTTACGCATTTTAAGACATGCATATCAACAGCATCCTGAAATAATTTTCTACACTCTTTCCTAAATAGTTTATTTATTTATCTGGGATTATGCCACTTAATCACTACCAGCTCTGAGGAGCAGCTTACTATCCCTCATCCATAAATAAGGTGAAAACAACAGAGTAACAAAAGCATAAAAAATAACTTCTGCTTATTCACCAAGGAGCATTAACATTCTAGTAAACACCTCACTGTAATATATCTGAACATATCTGCCTGTGACATGCAGGAACAACCAGGTTTTAACAGTTTTCCTACAAATATTTCTTAAACTTTTTAAGAAGATGAGAAGTAGATTTTAGTGTACTCACTTGTGGCAGAACCAAGTAGATTTTTTGAAGATTTTTCTTCTCTTACATCATAGTCCAAAGGATAATCTGTTTAAAAATGAAGAAAAAATTATACTTAATCAAATACCTCCTTTTAAAGATCAGATCTGCTTGCTTAGATTAATTAGAATAAATCTATTCTGGAATAGAATAGGAACTACTGTATCATATCATTTAAATGATCCTTTATTAAATATACCACAGCAATACAAGATAGCACTATCATATTAAAATCGTAGTTAAAAGTTAGAGTAGATACTATGGGCTCTTTATGCAGCCTTAAGAGCAAATGTCTTACTTCCTGTTGTAGCAGTACATCAAAACAAATATGCAAACCAAAAAAAAGATACTGAAAAATGAAATGAAAATGAAATGAAAGATCTAGTCTTGTGGTCTTACAATGATTTCTAACAATGTTATTTTCCACCTCCCTATATGTCTCTTAGGCCTTATCAAGCTTCTTAGCTTTTATTAACCTTATTAGGTTATATATAGGAATCTGAGGAATGGCTTTTACCAGAATGATATTGTTATATAAATATCCGTACCTGGCAGATTGATTTTATGAAACTTAAAGATCAGATCACAAAACAGATGTGAATTTAGTTCTACTGCAAATATTTTAATAATTCTATATTTTTAGCCATTTATACATAGATCAGAATGAAAAATATTCTTCACAATTGCTTTCTAAAATATATACAATTTAGACTTCCAATGTCCTTACTAAGGAATGCAAAGGTACTATGATAACTGACAGGTACTTTAAATATTTTCTAGGTCCATTTTGCTATTATTCACCAAAAACAAAAACTCAATACTCAAGGGAGGAAATCTGTTAAAGCAAAAGTTCTGTACAAATTTCATTAGCCACCACGTTGTTTCTCCAAAACTAAACAAAACACCCCAGTAATAGATATAACAACAGAATGTTAAAAAGCAAAAATCTGTAAGTTTAAGCTTTTACTAAACCAAATGAGTTTTATAATAATTGTAAGCTATTGAGTTTTTTCCAGCACGTCAGATGTTTAAAAAAGCAGGAAGTAAAGGAGAAGAAAAATAAAATTATGTTTGATGTTCAATAATTCCTGTCCCCAGTTTTAATTTTAGATGAAATTGTAAAAAAGCTTCCAGGAATGCAATTTAGCTGTCAAACTGCAGCTCAGGTGTCCCAGAACTTTCTGGGAAAATGAAAGAGGAATAACTTTGGAGTCATCTATTTTTTGGAAAATTCAATTTCTCTAGTTACTATTTCACAAGAATTTTAGGATGTGTTTTTAAAACATATTTTCACAATTATAAGGTTGCTTATTTATAACTATGGCTCCTCATGGGTCTGTACAGCCACAAATAATAGTTTTTGTACCTATAGAGTGCATAGCTTTGGAATGTTCTATAGCTGAGATTTTTGACATTTTCTGTCCTACTTAGCGGAGCCATCCTTACATAAGAAGGCTCAGTTCCACTTACCAACATTGTAATAATGATGAGTGCCCATCCAGTAAAAAGGAAGGCATTAGAAAGATCAGTAGGTGGGCTATCCAGAGAACAGGAGAGAGACACAGTGTACTAGCTTTACCCTGCTCACCCGTTAACACCCATCTGGATTTTATTCAGCTGAAACCCATACCATCAAGAAGTTCCAGTTCTACTGAGCTGCAGCTCACCTGGAACAGTTCAGCAGAACTTCCAAAACACAATATGTTTCTTTCGCATCTGAAGCAAAATATATTTTCCATTTTGTGAAAACCCCTGGGAATAATCAACAAGCCAAAACTCACACAGACATGGCTAAAGCCAGAATCTGAAAAGCAAGCACAAACCAAGTGGCTGGTACAAGGCCAAGTCACCTAATGCTATACAGTGCCTATTCCCCAAAAATATGTCTTGAGGAACAGTTACGCCAATGTGAAATTGGGAGAGTGGAAGAATCCTCCAAATTTCCTTCTCCTAAACACATAGGGAATACTTAAGCTATTAGAGGAAATCTGTTCCCCCAGTAAAAAAACAGTCCAGAAGCCATATACAAGCCAAACCAGATTCAAGGCCCAGTAGTGTATATCTTAGAAATATAAAAAAGCTAGATGAAATAAATAATAAAAAAGAATTATTTTTTTTAAAAAAAGATTCAGCTTATTTGTTTGCTGAACAGGGAAAACCATTCATAATACAGACTGAAAAAGACCTGAGGTAACAGTGGGAAATGACCCACTAGGCAGGCCCACTGAATGGAGGAGGTGGCTCCCTATTCAAATCTCAGCTAACAAACATTCCAAATCCATGTTCTGAAGAAAATTTAAACCTTTATGTGTGATGTCCTACAATCATGAAAAAGGACTCATTTAAATAAATACAGATTAAGTCTGCAGAGATCTCCTTTGACTGGGGAATGATTCACTTCCACAGATCTGTGTAATGAAGAGAAGGCTCTAATGGTGGCAACCAAGAAGTGTATAGAGGAGTTTCATAGGAAAGGGCCCCTCAAGCTCACCCTTGATTTCATCTCATAGATCAGAAGTTGGCTTACTCCCTTAACAGATCTAATTATCCTAGGGCTTAACATTTTTTTTTTCTAAGACAGTGAATGTTGACTTAACATGTTCAACAAAGATATGAAACAGATCACAATGTAGTTATTGCAGGATTATGAATATTTCTAAAGGATTCACAAATTTTGCTCACCACAGTAAATAAAAGTTAGATTTTGTGATTGATACCGCAGTACTCTTGCAGAATACAATATACAAATAACCTTGCAGTGTGAGTGTATGTGTGTGCATGCATGGGTGCATGCATTTATAGGGAGTTATCTATTTTTTAACTGTTTAATATGAGTTCCTTAAACTTTTCCTTTTACAAAAATAAATGTCTATTCTTATGTACTTCTTTTAGCTACCCTACTTAACTCATCAGGCTTGTTCTCTTATGCCACCCAAGTAAAACTCCTTCTTTAATTACTAAGTAACTATAATAAATCTTAAATTGTGAGCAATTGGTTTCCTTACCATAATCTTCATCAAACAGTTCTTGTCTTTCAGAATGATACTGTGAATCAGCAATTTCTTCATATTCTTCAACCATACTAGTTCCAAATACCCTATAAATAATATTTTAATTAAACTGATTAAAGAAGTGACAAATCATGATTGTTTCCTTTACCACCAAAGACTAATTTCACACTAGCATAGTGCATAAAACTGAAGTGCAATGCATTTCCCCAACTCTCACTATATCAAGGTTACCACAGACTTGACTGTTCAACTTTTTCACACTGGTCTTTATATATATTCAAATATCGTACATTACAGCAACTATGATTCTGTGGTGCTTGTTTAGCCTTGAAAAACTAATTCATCTAAATGAATAATTTTTGCAAATACCACCAAACAGAAAGATCATTTCAAGAATATAAAAAGCATAAAAATAATAATATTTAATACCTTATAAGGCTTAAAGGACAGAAATGTTCTGATCCAAAATGCGATACCAACTCCACCTGAAAAATAAAAAGTATTTAATAACTGAAGAGTTAAAAATGAATTAACAGTTCTTGTATAAAGTAAAGATAAAATAAAATAGAAGTTCACATAAAGTTAACAGAAGGAATCTTGTCAGGCTCTGTTCTTTTCATGCATTAGTGTGTGGAGCCACAGAGTGTACCCATGCCTTAGGCTTTCAATATTATGAAGATATTGCTAACCTTTAAATACTTGATGAACATCTGAAGCAAGAGAAAAGAAGAAAAAAAGAAAGCATCAGTTGACTACATGCATGCCACAGGCAACAAATTAGCTGCTTATGCAATTAATAACAGTGAATGCTGTAAATTTCCTTTCCTTCCCTCTCCCGCCATCCCAATAAGCTGCTATGAATTTGCAGAAAACGGTAAGATGCTCACTACAGGACACAACATGCAGTCAAATTATCACAGCTGTTTGTTATGTAGCCAAACACCTGGCATGCTTCATAATTACAGATGAATGCTAAAGGGAAAAAAACCCCAATACAACAAAAAATAAATATCACTGTTTTATTCTAGTTGTATACAAGGGTATTGTGTACAATAAGGAATAAAGGCAGTCCCTGGGTTAAGAATGAGATCCGTTCTGCCTTTAACACGAATTTGTATGCAAATACTTACAAATGGGCGGCCTATTACTAAAAATGGCGGATGGCGTTCTCCTTCCTTGAGCTGACGAACTGCTGAAGCCATGCAATGTTTTCATGAACCACTGAAAACAGGCTGTATATTAAAAACGTGTGGCTTCAGCAGCTCATGAAAACATTGTGCGGCTTCAGCTGTTTGTCGGCTCAAGGAAGGAGAGCGCTGTCCACCATTTTTAGTAATAGGCAGCCTGTTCTTAAGTACGAGTTGTCAGTAAGTCAGATGGCCTTAACCCGGGGAATACCTGTACTTTGATATAACCAACTGCACTCTGCTGATTGCGCAGATAACATGTAAACACAGAGTCCACAAAAAAGGAGCCTGTTTTATTTATTTTCAGTTTATTTCTTCTATTTTTCTTGTTTGCTCTCTTGAATGAGTGTAGCAGCAGCAGCAGCAGCAGCAGTAGTCATTATACAATATATATAATAAACAAGAACAAGGAATAAAAGACAGCAAACTGGACAGGACCAAAAACAAACCTGCACCACTTAAAGGAGCCTTCAAACACCCTTGCCAGAGGCCTGGGCAACTAGCCAGCTCTTCAAGGCCCTTTGAAACACAAACAGGGTGGGGCTGTTTGAATCTTGGGGGGAATCTTATTCCAGAGAGCTGGTTCTTTGACAGTGAAGGTGCACTTCTGGGACCCAAGAGGTGCATTATTTAATCAAAGGAACCCAGAGTATGCCAATCCTGACAGACTGAATCAGCCAAACAGATACTATGGGAGACAGGTGGTTCCTCAAGTAACCAGACTCTATGCCATGCAGGGCTTTACAGGTAACAACCAGTACCTTGAATCACACCTGGAAGCAAAATGGAAACCAGTGCAGATAGCAAAGCAGGGATGTTACAGGGGCATGGCAAGGCATGCCCATCACTGCCCGTGCTGCTGCATTCTGGACCAGTTGAAGCTTCCAGGTAGGCTTCAAGTGCAGCCCTATGTAGCATGCTTGCAGTAGTCAAGCCGTAAGGTGACCAAAGCATGAATGACTGTTTGAAGGGCCTCCTAATCTAGGAAGGGGCACAACAGGCACACCAGATGAAGCTGTGTAAAGGCCTTCCTCACCACAGCTCCCACCTGCTCATCAAGCAGGAGCTGTGCGTCCAGGAAGATCCCCAAATTGCACATCATCTTTGAATGGGGAAGCTCTACCCCATCCAACTCAATCCTACCAAAACCAAGGGGCTGTGAGTGTTTGGGCCACTCACAGCCACTTGGTCTTGGTAGAATTGACTTTGAAACAGTTTCTCACTATCCAAACTCACACAGCCTCCAGGTACTGGGACAGAACATTGTCAGTTTTACTTGGCTGGCCCAGGGGTCAAAAGATGTATTTGAATATCATCAACATACTGATGATTCTGAACTGGGCCCAAACTGGTGGACGACCTCACCCAACGGTTTCACACATATGTTGACTAGGAGGGGAGAGAGAGTAAACCCCTGTGTCACCCCACAAACAAGAGGCCTAGGGAACAATCTCTTCCTCCCCCGACCAACACTGGCCCCACAGAAAGGAAGAAAACTACCACAAAACATGTCCCCAATCCCCAACCGACTGAGCCAAATTATAAAGATACTGTGGTCAACAGTATCGAAAGCAGCTGAGAGATCAAGAAGCACAAGGATATATGCACTACCTGCATCCTGGTTCTACCACAGGTCATCTACAAGCACAGCCAATTGTCTCAGTACTAAATCCTGGCCTGAAACCTGACTGAAACGGATCTAGATAACTCATTTTCTCCAGAGTTCTTATCAACTACTTTCTCCAAAAAGGGAACCAACTACCTTTTCCACAACCTTCCCCAAAAAAGGAAGGTTGGAGACTGGATGATAGTTATCAAAACGCTTTATGTCCAAGGATGGCCTCTTGAGGAAGGGACACCCTACCGCCTCTTTCAAGCAGGAGGCACTACCCCCTCTTCTTCAAAGAGGCTGACACTACATCATGCACCCAACTGAGGTCACCTCCTCTGCCACTTTTCTGACGCAACAGGTAGCCAAATTGACAGTGCAGAGACCTTGTTCACTGTTCACTGCCTCAGTGGTCACAGACTCACTCATCCCAGATCTTACCACCAGAACACACCTCAGGCACCTCAGCCAGCCCTGCCCAATGACAGTCCAAGTCAGAGGAGATCTGAGTGACTTTATCCACCAGACAGCTTGAATAATCCTTACAATGGTTCAACTTCCAGGGGAGGTATGGCAAACTGAAGATGGCTCCACAAAAGAAGAGCCAACGACCACAGCAAAGACCAAGGAACCAGTGGGTAGACTGGTTCCTTGGAACCTCTCTGGATAACAAGAGAACAGGAGATTGCTCACATGTGCTCCAGATGGGTGCTCCTCACAAGGAAACCACAGGACAACAGTCCCCCATGGGTTTGAGTGCCAGGAGACAAAGGGATTAATCATCAAGCTCACAACTACGGTGGAGTCTTTTGGAAGACACTAAGTTCACAAACCTCACTTTCTAATCACTTTCAGAAATTGTCTATTAACTACCTTAAAGCTATTAGATACTTTCAGAACAACATGTTAGAAAAGACTTCAACTCTGAACAGAAGAAAAACTAATTACAAGCTTAAGAACTTAAAGAACTTGAAACAAACAGCAAAAAGCTAAATAAGATTTTGGTCTAAGGAAGTTATAAATGGAATATTGACTTTTACTATAAGATTTTGGAATTATCTATTTAAAACAAACCAACTTCTTGTGGGAAACTGACTTATTTTGGTTATCCTAGTTATTGCAAGTCATAACAATAGATAAGTGATAATTTTGAATACTGACCAAAAAGGGCCATAATCTGCTTCACTCTGTATGCACATGTAAATTCACATCACACACACAGCAGACATTTAGCATGCAAATATAAGTTTCTAAGGACTCAGAGTGTATGATGTGGAATAATGAATTCAAGTCACAGAAAGGCAATTATCAGAGTATGAGAAAAAGAATTAGTGATAAGAAGAGATTAACAAGGAATCCACTGGTGGACAATCCATTGACAGATAACAAACTCATTTTTTGATACATCAAGCAGAATTTGAATAGCTGCCTGTCAAAAATACTGTAAACTGGATTCTTATGGAGGGTTTATATGATGATCTAAATGGTCCCTTCTATGATTTATTTCATCTGCCCTACTTCTGACAGTGAAATTTTGCTTAAATGCATGCATGTATCAGTTACACAGCATATGTAATGGGAGGCCAAAACATATTGCCCTATGCAACTTCATAGCTATGTGTTCTTAATAATACAATTCCTCTTTGTCTACTTTAATGAGAAAGTTGCAATAACCAAAAATAAATTACCTTTACATATTTTGCATACATCTGTTCATCCAGAGGAAAACTCTGGACATTTCTTTCATCTCTGGCATGAAAAGTACCTAGTTTGACCCACTTATTTGTTGGATACCTAGGAATACAATGCATAAAAAATCAGAAAGCACAATGATTTTGTGATTAAACAGCAAATTAAAACGTCACATAAATTATTCAATACTTCCTACTTTACAGCTGATGTATGTAATTATATGAAATTAAAATGGAAAGCACTTAAGGCAGCCTGTTTAGCCTAAATTTATTATATTAAAAAAGCAGTTCAGTATAACTGCGATAAACCTAGCTGAAACCTTATGTATTTGTAAAGTTATCTATTCAATTTTTTTCTGCAAAGAAGAGAGCTGCAAATGAGAATTTTTAAAGAAATATTTGTCTGAGTCATTAAACTCTAAATAAGCATGCTGGATTTGCATGCTGAAGACATGAAAATTACAAAGATTATGAAATTACAAACACTGAAAATGACTTTCAGTTTCACTAAACTTCATGACAATAAATTCTACAACTGCACTCTTATCATGAGACATACCTGTCACTGATAGAAACCAGAAAATCCTTGGGAGTGGATGAGAATAACTCATGATTAGCAATATCCAGCTGCTTTACTTGAATGGGCTCACACAATTCAACAACAAACCTTCAGGATAGATAAAAAGTACACAGTGACCTGCACGTTCAAAGGTAATTTTCAAAGAATAGCCAACAACCATTTCATGGCAATTTATCCCAGAAATGTGCTTCAAAATGAGCTAAGACATTTCTCAAGTGCATTCTCCATTGGTTTTCACACAAAGAAAGCATCAGCAATACAATAAAAATCACTGTGCCAAAGTAGGCTCAATAACAACTTCTTATTAACATATGATTAGCTTGAGGACATGTTAAGTGCCATACCACTTGCTTCATTCTCTTCAGCTACCAAATATGGCAAGGAGATGCACATGTTCTAAGAGAGTACGCGTGCTTTCAAAAAAACTAGTTTCTCTCATATAAGTGGGTACAGGACTGCAGCTCTAAGAATACTGCAAGAAGTCACAACTTAGCAATGAACAGGTACTTTAATGAGGAATTCTGAATAAAAATAAAGCCCAGTTACAGTTTTCCCAAATCTTAACTACAGGGAATTTTAAATACTTGGATTGGAAAATAACATCTAAATGTGTTCTTGCATTGAAAGATTAACACATTTATGGCATTCCCAAGTAGGCTGCCTCAGCACGGCAGGGGGTGGGGGCGATCCTCAGGTTGAAGAACACCAGGAGTATAAGCTAATTCTTCCAGCAGGATCACCCAAAGTGTGAACGTCATTCCAGCTGCCCAGTTAAAGCAGTAAGGCACTTGTGTAAGACACAGCAATATAGGAAGATGCTGGAGTCAGATGATCATGTTAGTGACAACAGCAAAGGCATCATTTCATAGGGCATGGAAGAAGGCAATAGTAAACCTCTTCTGTATTTTACTAAGAAAACTACATAGACAGACAAGATAAAGTGATGATAATATAATGCCAGATGATGGGTCCCTCAAGTTGGATGGGACTCAATTTCCTACTCAGGAAGAGCTGAGGATTTTTCAGAGTATTAATAGTGTTTATGATGTGGCTAGATTAAAAAGTTCCAGATGTCTTACTGCAGATGTTGCCATGCAGGAAAAGAAAATCCCAAGCTGCAAAAGTGGACTTATAGTTGGAACATGAAACACAAAATGCATGAACCTGGGAACATTCAACATAGTGAAAGATACATTGAACTACACACTGACATCTTAGACATAATTCAATTGAAACAGACTGGAATCCAACACTTTCAGTCAAAATACATGACTGAATTCAGGACATGAAAAATTATGAAGGACAACACTGCTTTCATAGGAAGGATATAGCAATGCAGAAAATGACTGAATATTAGACTTTGCAGACAACTCTAACACGATGTTAGAGTTTATGCTCATCATTCAAGTGGATGAATGTTATATTATCCTTAATAATTTCAAGTCCAAGTTCATGAAAGCAAGATGTGTTCCTTGTGGATGGAGACTGGAATATCAAACTTGGATATAGTAAGAAGGAAAATGTAGCTGGACTTTATGATCTAAGAAACAAAACTGCAGCTATTTATCACCATGACAAATATGAATTGTATATTATTTCAAGTAATTATGTTAAGACATGGAATGAAGTTTAAAAAGACATGTTAAGTTGGGAGCTGAGGAAAATTTCTGTGATAAAGATGAATGTTTCGCCTAGAAAGATGTTTTCGTTTCAGACAACACCTGTTTTGGCAACTGATGTACCATTTTAACAGTGGAAAAAGAATATACAGTGGGGCAAAGAAGTATTTAGTCAGCCACCAATTGTGCAAGTTCTCCCACTTCAAAAGATGAG